CACCATTCAATAATATCATATAATAAGTTTGACAACACCAAACCTTCTTGAGCGAGCATGGTGATTAATGCTCAAACCTTCTCCATGTGAGAAGAGGCTCAGCAGTGGGCTCTGATAGGATGATGATGATGGAAACATCTCATATAATCTCCTATATTATGAATATGCATTGAATATATTCATATAATTATGATTTTCCAGGTCGGTGAAAGACACTAAAGCGAGGTTGGCGGAGATGGAGCGAGCTCTGAACAGCACCGAGCTGGGTTCAGACTTGAGATCCTGCAAGAGACTGGTGCTACTACACCAGGTGGGTACATCACATACTAGCTGTTTACTGCGACTTCATGCGTGTATTAGGTATTACTCAGATGGTGATTAATGTGTATCTAATATAATGGATGTCATTATGAGGTCTAAATTGCTTTATAGAAGAGTTTTATCAAAATCAGTTGGGATAATTTACTTGTAAGACCAACATATGTATATCCATACATACCTACTAGATAAACTACATATATACATATATATATAGTATTGCTTTTCAAATTATTATCTGTCGTAGTTATGCCAGCTAACTGATATAATTTGAGGTAACTGTCAGTGTGAGAGTGATTTATTTATTTATTTTGGAAATACCATCGGCATATTCACAAACGATATGTTGAAAAAAAATATATAAAAAAATAAACTTGTTCAGTGTGATACACCATTACAGGTATTTACATTATTGCTTACATGATAACAAAAGAACTAAAGGTAAGGTAAACACTACACTAAGACATTTAAAGAATCTGAATACAATAAAATAACATATCAATTAAAAAAATAAGATAAAATATCAATTACTAACTAAAACAAACAAAATAAGCTAACAAACATATTAATATCAATTATTAACTAAAACAGTATTTATTATTTTTTTAAAACTATTATTACTTTGGCTGTATATGTCGACGACATGGGAATCAATTTGATTGTAGGTCCTCATGCAACGAATTATTTCTTTTTTTGCTAAGATTATTTTTATAAAATCAAAGTGTAAAGAGCTCATTGCTGGTGCTTTAATAACTAGATTTAAACTAAGGGCTCCTCAGACGAGAAAACAATTTGTTTTAAAATAAAACAAGTAGAATTATATTGTTTAGAAATGTGTATTGATAAAAACAATTATTGTTTACAGAAAAATGCGATTTCGTCCTTGTTGTATTTACTAGAACATAATATATCTATATTTATATAATACTAGTTTTTGCCCGCGACTTCGTCCGCGTTAATTTCGTCATTAGTAATATACATATATGTATAGCTGACCGGGCGAACTCTATCCCGTCAGAAATAACCAGGTATAGGTATTTATTAAATTTTTCCTGTTTCAATCAAACAGAATGATTGACATATTAGTTAGTTGTCAAATCTAATGTCAAAAAAACGTTTGTATGGGAAATAGAAAAGGGCTGGTTTTAGGATTTTCCCGGCAATTATTCCAATTTCCCCACCTTTTAAACCTTCCCTGGACTCCCAGGAGTATTTCAAGACTAAAATTAGCCAAATCGGTTCAGCCGTTCTCGAGTTTTAGCGAGACTAAGGAACAGCAATCCATTTTTATATGTATATATAGAAGATTCAATAGTAACATAAATGTCTACAGGCTCTGGAACAAGAGTTGAGTCAAAGCGAACAACGTGTCCCTTGCAGCCCAGGGCTCCGACCTGGTCTCCAGCGGTCACTTCGACGGCGCGACCATCGAGAGAGACTCCGCTGCGCTGCTGCAGGCCGCCCGGGCGCTCCGCCCTCGAGCGGCCGAGAGGAGACAGGCGCTGGAAACTAGTCTACAGTCAGTATACGATATAACTAAAACAAACTATGATTCAATACAACATTATACAGGGTGGGCCATGAATTAGTTAACATTTGAAATAATCATTTGAAAAAAACTATTTGACATATTTTAAAAAAGAAAGCTAATTAGTTGGAAATTATTTTTAAAAAATCATATCATCTAAATGACCACCATTTCGATTTTTACACTCTTCTAAGCGAGTAACGAAATTTTCGAATACTCGTCCGCACAGAGACCGTGAGATCGTCGATATCTTTTCGCTGATTTTTTCTTTTAGTTGACGTAGTGTATTTGGTTTATCGATGTAGACACGACTCTTTAAATAACCCCATAAAAAGAAGTCAGCTGGGGATAGATCTGGACTTCTGGGTGGCCATGGAATGTCACCTCGTCTGGAAATCAGCCTTTTCGGAAACATTTCTTTAACCACCGGCAGGGACTCGTTGGATGTGTGACAAGTGGCTCTATCTTGTTGAAACCATGTGTTACGATTGTAGTCAGAAAATTCCAGTAGCATCGGTGCCAAAAACTCCCGTAACATTTTCACATACCGAGTAGAATTAACAGTAACTGAAATCTTCAAAAAAGTAGGTTCAATTATTCCTTTTGCTGAAATTGCAGCCCATACAGTTATCTTTGGAGAATGAAGTGGCCTTTCGTGTTTAGCTTTAGGATTGTCACTGCTCCAATATCTGCAATTCTGTTTGTTTACATGTCCGTTAAGATGAAAATGGGCTTCTTCAGAAAATAAGAGGTTCTCAAAATTACTGAATCGATCTAGCAGTTTCAGCATAGTACTTGCGTAAATTTAAATCATTAGGTTTTAGTTCCTGCACCAATTGGATCTTATACGGATGCAATTTCAAATCTAACTTCAAAATACGGCGTTACGATGTGCGGGATAATCTTAATTCAGCCGAACGTTAGCGCGTCGATAAACCTGGATCACGACGAACAGAAGCAGAAACTTGCTGTACGTTCTCTTCGCTCCGAGAAGTCCGTAGGCCGCCGGTTTGCTTTACATTTAGTGTAGATCCCGTCTCTTCGAACTTCTTTACCCATTTCTTTATTAAAGGACCACTCGGACACTGACTTAAGTCGTGTAAATCATATTCACCACGAAATAAGCGTCTCACAGTAGTAAGCGAATTATTGTTTAAATAAAATTGTTTCACACAGTAAGCGCGCTGCGGCCCCGTGAAGCGATCCATTGCTACAAAATTTCCGAGAAACGAGCTAGTGACAAGACCCCTCCCCGCGCCCCGCGCGGCATTTATTTGCGTAGGGTATTAGATTCAAATGTTAACGAATTCTTGGCCCACCCTGTATAAGAAATGATTAACGGTTGACGGAACAATATACAGGGTGACTGGTGAATTACTATCAATATTTAAGGAGCATACTCGGTACATGATTCTCATTCGAATTATGTAAAAAAAATAGGTACTTAATTTTTGACCAAATTTCCATATAAATAAATAAAGTGTGTACACGTTCCAAGTGTTCCAAGTGTGGACGCGTGCGGCGGCGTGCTGATCAACATGATATTATGCCTATCAACATAATAATATTAATCTTTATTCAAATAAACAAATAAATATGTTGTTGGTTGAGTTTACTTAATTGTAAATAAAAACAACATAGGTTTTATCCTGAAAATTCTACGGGAACTCTACCATTCCGAAAACCCCGCAAGAACGGGAACTATGAGGGAAGAACCAAAAATCTGCCAGAAGTTACTATTCCACGCGGACGAAGTCGCCGCAAAAGCTAGTTTATGTATATACATATAATTCATTTCCTCATTCAGTTGTGGCCTAGTGGTTAAAAGTCCCGCCTCTCATGCATGAGGGCGCGGTTTCGGTCCTGGCAAGTACCAATGTGATTTTTCCGAGTCATATGTACTTTATAAGAGTACTAGTAAACCTGGCGAACTCCGTTTCGCCACCAGAAGGCTTCTATATAACATTTCGTTTGGTGATTAAAAGATGAAGATTTTTTTATGTTTTATATTTGAAAAGAAAATTTTTTATTTCATTTCACAACAGTAATGAATTCACTTCGATTACAAAAATGAAATGTTATTTAGATGAACTTCTCTAAGTAAATGAAAGTGAATCCAAAGTAGATACCGAATCGAAGCGTTATACGTGTCCGAAAATTATCCGTTTCATTGAAGTGGTCCTTTGTAAACCACATTTTTTGTTTTTTGGTCTAACGTAAATACAAATAAAGCGGATGGTTTCCCAACTCGTGAACACACAAACCATAACTGCCCATGTGAAAAACAATGATTTTCTAAATTTATCCCGCAAATACTAAATTACATATATGTCATTATACGTCAATCACATAGCTGTCAATTGTGTTTCGTTATTCCAGGTTTTATAGTGACTGACGTTTCATGTCAAGTCCCACGGGAATACTGTCGAACGGGATAAAAAGTATCCTATTGCAATTTCCTGGTTCTAAACTACCTCCCTGCAATTTTTTTAGCTAAATCGGTTCAGCCGTTCTTGACTTATAAGTGGGGTAACTAAAACGACTTTCTTTTATAAAGGGTGACTGGTGAATTACTATCAATATTTAAGGAGAATACTCGGTACATGATTCTCATTCGAATTATGTAAAAAAAATAGGTACTTAATTTTTGACCAAATTTCCGTATAAATAAATAAAGTGTGGACACGTTCCAAGTGTTCCAAGTGTGGACGTGGTGTTGTATCAGCACGCCGCCGCACGCGTGTGTGTGTGTGTGTGTGTGTGTATATACCTTATCTGTAGGGTGTTAACACGATGCGTAATTAATTACATAACTTTTGGTTAACTTTACTCAGAAGTTTATTAATATTTATGTTATATTAATTTTTATTTTGTCTTATATGATCGTCAAATATCACGTCCTCAAATATCGATAGTAATTCACCAGTCACCCTGTATATATAGATTTAGACATCACTGATTAATGCATTCCAAAAGAGGGTTGATGTCAGGCAGGCGTCCGGTCGTAAAAACAATTAGGCAAAACTATTCACAACATATAAGGCAGACCCTGGCTAAAACTGGGAAATTGCCAGGAAGAAGAAGATTAATTTATGGATATACATATAATTTATTTCCCTACTCCATCCACTAAACTATAACGATCACATTCCAGATGAAGCAGCTGTGCCTGGAGCTTGAAGAGGCGTACTCCCCTGTATCATCAGCGGCTGAGGAGCGCGTGGCCCGGCTGGAGGCGGCGCTCAAGGCCCAGCAGTTCCTGCATGATGCAGCGGAAGTAGACTCCTGGCTGGCTGACAAGGCCGCCACACTGGCTTCCGGTGACGTCGGCAATGATAGGCATAGAGCGACGCAACTACTTACACGGCATAAGGTAATATACATATATATACATAGCTAACAATTAGATTTTCGTCATATCACACAATTTTTGAGCTACAAGAAATCTATGATAAATCACTACATACAGGGTGTATGAAAAACTGTGTCAACCCTCTTAACTACGTTATCAGTATCGAAAATGTAACACAATAAAACAACTTACATTTACAAACTCTTCAATAAAAATAATAAAATTAAATATTAAATGATTATTACATGTAGAGTAACAAAATGTTTGTAAGCCCTGGTATAACACGATGACACGCAATGACGTCATCACACCTGCTGCGCTACTAGTGACGAACTCGAAGTTACTTTCACATTATTGAAAATATCGATATTTAAAAAATTATAACAATAAATAAATATTTAATATTCGTATTGTTTCGATACTTATTTTGATATATCACACATTAGTATTACTTTTGATTGTAAAACACCATTTCTAACAGAAATAGATTAACGATTTATCCTAATAATACAACATAGTTAATTTACCTGAAGAAGTTCCAAATTATAATATTGATTAATAATATTTATTATTTATAAAAGTTATTTTAAATGAAATTATTTTAATGTGAAAAGTACAACTACTTCTAGCAATATTGAAAATGTCGATAGAATATTTATCGATATACTTACCTAATAAACACTAACAAAAGACGAGTGTGCCACGCCGGCGGCCGGCGCCTGCGATCAAAGGCCGCGCATGCGTCGTCGCGACTATACGGGGCCTTGACCTTGTATTGCGTCAGATGTTTGAAACATTTTTTCAAATAATGTCGATTTAAAACTTATTTAGCACACGCATTAATACGCCTGACGCGTGAGACAAAAGATCGTTCATAGAAATGTACCGAGTAACGAGTCGGTTCTCGCGCGCCGCACGAAGCGGCCGAAGGTTACCGAGAGCACCCGATGTATGACGTATTGAGCCGGCCGGCAAGGGGCCGGCCGAAAGGATGGGTGCTATGATTGACATTTCGTTAATCGTTATTGGTATTGTTTCAACTTTCACTGTATGCGTGACGCGTTAATTCGTTATTGTTTATAATTATTTCCGTAATTCGTTTTAGTTTTTATTTCGTTTCTATAATAGAACTTTTATTCTGTACTGTGTTTTTTATTAGTTGAAAATGAGTATAAATATTGATTATATTAAAGAAAATAACAAAATTTTTCAAAGTAAAGTGAACATAAAATTGGCCGGGCCGCCACGGCCCTTTTTAAATTTAAAACAAGAGTGTAAATCGAAAAATAAAGCATTTATACGAAGTTTTAAAAGTGAAATGTATAATAGAAAGAAATGGTTGTGTGGATGTGAGCGTCTTAATGCATTCTTTTGTTTTCCTTGCATTATTTTTGGCGGAGAATCGATTTGGACAGAAACTGGAATCAAGGATTTGACGCATTTAAGTGAAAAAATAAAAAAACACGATTCTTCACAAGTACACCTACAAAATGTAATGAGTTTGTCTGTGTTAGGCACAGTCGATATTCGTAATCAGCTAGATTCTGTGTATAGAAGTAATATCCAAAAGTATAATAAACAAGTTGATAAAAACAGATACATTTTATCACGTCTTATCGATTGTGTCAAGTTTTGTGGTGCATTTGAGTTAGCTTTGCGAGGTCACGATGAAACTATTGAGTCCAGTAATGCTGGAGTGTTTCGTGGATTAATAGACTTTGTATCAGAGTTGGATATAGTTATGAATTAATGTACAAAAAATAAACATATTTTATGTCAATTGTTGTTTTTGTCAATATTTTAGTAAAGTGAACCACCAGTTCGATAACCCACCAGCCGCCACTGCACACACACTCACACATACGTGCGCGCGGAGTGGTGTTGTATCAGCACGCCGCCGCACGCGTCCACACTTGGAACACTTGGAACGTGTCAACACTTCATTTATTTATACGAAAATTTGGTCAAAAATTAAGTGCCTTTTTTTTTACATAATTCGAATGAGAATCATGTACCGCGTATGCTCCTTTAATATTGATAGTAATTCACCAGTCACCCTGTATATATGGACTTAAATCAGAAGAAGTAGTCATTATTGAAATTTCTAACACTTTCAATTAACAGAAATATAATAATACAGAGTATATTCAGCAATATCTTACAATTCCTCTTTAACCTACCAACAGGCCGTAGAACTCGAGCTGGACACATACGCGGCGATCATAGCGGAAATGGGTCACGTGGCGCAATCAATGGCTTCCGGTGGTCATCCTGAGGGCGCCGCGCTGGTCACCAGACATGACCAGCTGGCTGACAGTCTGGCTAGGCTGCATAGACTGGCAGCGAGAAGGCAGGCCGCGCGCGTGGAGAGTGTACAGGTGAGAGATACTATATATATATATATATATATATATATATATATATATATATATATCATATTCGTCGCACTACTTATAATCAAGAAGGGCTATAAGAATTTGTAAATTTGTTTCGAGGTAGTTTAGAAACGGGAGACCGACGTAGCATACTTTTCATTAAGCGAGGTCGAAATTTAAATAAATATTAAATAACTACTTAACAAAGACTTGTTATTTACTGCTTCTTAAGCGTTACACAGTAACGCCTTTCAATTCCTGAAGTTGATTATGACGAAGTTGCTGACAAAGACTAGTATATGTGTGTTATAGGAACATGTAAATAGGATATCCTCTAAAAATATGTTTGTCTATCCTTAGACATGAATATCTGGCTGAGAGCGCTGAGTTGGAGGAATGGGTTGCGGAGCAGCAAGCAGCCGCCTCCAGTGAAGACTACGGACAGGACTATGAACACTTACTGGTGAGTAGCGATATGTAGATGATGATGATGATGATGATGAGAGGGTACTCCAGCCATCACACTTGGTGATGGAGACATTATTCAGTTATATCTTCAAATACTAAGCTTTGAAACTTCACGGAAATCCGTTCAGCAATCCTATTTTTAGAAACTAACGAACGAATGCTAAATTTCGTTGAAATGCAAGTCAATTTGAGCTTTTAGTACATAATTTAGTGTTTTTTTTTATTTCTTGTATCTCAGAAGGATGTGCAAAGATTAGCATGTCATAATATTAAATATACCTAAAGTTTTACAGCTTAATTAAAACATCCTCCAAAACCATTTAATTATATCTATAATCTCAGACATCATATTTCCCCAACCATAGATCTTTAGGTCCAAGTTCGAAGAGCTCCGTCCCCGTGTAGAGAGTGGGGTGGAGAGGTTCAACCAGTGTGAGGAGCTGGCCAAGAAGCTGGTCGCCTCAGACAGCCCCTACATAGCTGACATTGAAAAGAGACAGGAAGTACTCGGGTGAGGGGAACTTGGAAAATGACACTTAATTACATAACATAAAATCTTATTCAGATATCCAATATGTCCACATAAACTTATACCAAACAAAATGAGCTTTAACCATACATACAGATATAGAATCTAAATAAGACATACCATTAATGCAAATAAATTTGTACAAGTTAAAATGAGACTTAATGACTAGATATAGAATTTAATTTAGACAAAGAAAAATGAGACTTAATGACATACACATAACATCTAATTCAAAAATTCCACATGTCATTTAAAATAAGGCAAAATGAATTTTAATTACATATTTATAAGATACATTTTACATAATCCACAACTCAAATACAATTCATATATTCCAGCGAGTCCTGGCAGCGTCTGGTAGAACAGATCCAGTACCGCAGCCAGCGCCTGGCTGCTGCTGGCGAGATCCACCGCTTTCACCGCGACGCCGGGGACCTGCTGGCGCGGGCCGGGGAGCGCCGGGCCCGCCTCGCCCCGCCCCCCGCGCCCCTCGACCTGCGCGCCGCCACCGCCCTCTTGCGGGACTACGACGCAGCCGAGAACGATATGGTCGCTATAGACGCGCAGATGCAGGTACTACAAAACAACTATTATGGTTAAAGATACTTTATTTTTCTCAAAAAGAAATTACATTTCACTCACTTGAGAAAATTATGCCTATAAACATATTATGTATTTTAAATTAAAACTTCGACAATCATAATAAATGTATCACTAGGTAGTTTAACATATTCTTACAATAAATTTTGCTTTAACATGAAATTTAAAATATACACCCTCGAAGCAACAATAATTGTGTACAAAACAGTGATAAGAAATGCAAACTCATAGACACAGAGTAACTATTAAGATTGACTTAGAATGAATCTAAGATTTTCGCGAGTATTCATTTAAATGAAACTAATATTTTTTGGATGAACGTTTTGATAAAAAACTACATATTTCCTATGTTTCGTTTACTTTACAGTATCATGATCACGGGCAGACGCTATGGTAAATATTAGTTTCATTTAAATGAATACTTGTCAAAATCTATTTCATAATATCATAACTCCTCATTTAATGTAGTCTAATTCTGCCTAAATAAGATTTTAACTGATTTTTGCAGTATTTTATACTTGTAGTAATATACACCCTGGCCTGGGCAAGTACCAATGTGATTTTTCCGAGTCATATGTACTTTGTAAGAATATTTAGACATCACTGATTAATGCATTCCCAAAGAGGGTTGATGTCAGGCAGGCGGGCGGTCGTAAAAACAATTAGCCAAAACTATTCACAACATGTAAGGTAGACCCTGACTAAAGCTGGGAAGTCGCCAGGTAGAAGAGATAGTTGTAGTGATATTAAATCTATTTCGAGGTGCTCCAGGAGGAAGTAACTCCCAGCAGATAGCGCTGAGACAGCAGGCGCTCAGTGAGGCGTGGCGGTCACTGCGAGGTGCTGCAGACCTTAGGAGGAAACCGCTGCACCAACACCTGGAATTACAGACCTTCCTATCCGAGGTATTACTGTGGGATTTCACTATTATACAAAACCTTTATGATCTGATAGTGTTTTAATATATTGCTACATTTGATTAATCTATCTAATTTATATATATTTTCTTTATACATATACTAATTAATAATAAATGATTTTACGCCTATAAATAATGTATCCTTTATGATATTTGATTTCCATTAAGACATTGTTATTACTTATATGAGAATTACACTTATAACAAATACAGTTCGACATCGCACTTGTAACAAAAATTAAATGAAATAACCTTTAATTAAGAGATATTTTTCTATATTAAGCACTAATTTAATGGCTGTCTTAGTTTTGATTATTTATTATTTAACATATACTATCTGCCCCGCAAACGTTGTTTTGTCATATCAAAAGTAGGGGTTGGTGATAAAAAAATTAATATTTAGGATTTTATGTATTTTCTTATGCCACTTGATAAAAAAATAAAAACAAAACCTTTCGTCCAAATGAAAACAAAAATTAGGGGTGAATAGCCCCTATCACTTAGGGGAAGGAAAAATAGATGTTGGCTGATTTTCAGACCTATTCAATATGCTTACAAAATTTCATGAGAATCGGTCAAGCCCTTTCGGAGGAGTACGGGAACGAACATCGTGACACGAGAATTTTATATATAATTTATATATACATATCATGAATATCGTTCCCCAGCTCCGTGACGTCATCTCGTGGTCGTCATCCCCAGCTGCCGCACGTTCAGAGGGCGCACCACGACGCGCTGAGAGCGGAGATAGCGGTTAGTACACACTGGAACAATATTATACTATGAAAAACATGTTAGCAATAGTGTATTCGATTAAAAGTAATATTTTTATTTCTTTGTATTTTATAAGTGTTTATAGTAATTTTTTATAAGGTGCTACCGATATTTTACGTGCATCACGAGTAGACATCATAGTGAATACAAAAAATATTAGTTACATTTCAATGATTACCCGCGAAAGTATATCTCATGAGATAAATCTGTTCTGATATGTATAACCACAGGTACTTCTGGTTCATTAATCTCACTATTTAATACTAATTATTTCCAGGGCCGCGCGGTAGGTGGCGTTGGAGCAACTGATCGACTGGCACTGCTTCCTGAGAGACGCCAAGCAGCGGCATGCTCTGTGTGCGGTTAGTTATATACGGCTCACGAGATAAGGGAGCGAATACAAACATATAGACATAATTTGAAACTTTAACTCAGCTTATGAAGTGGAACTAAAATTTAAAAATATCTTATTAGTAATGTTGATGAATTATTCACAAAGTAGAACATGAACTTGTAATTAGTTATCTTCTATCTTCTATACACAGGTGACTGGTGAATTTCTATCAATATTTAAGGAGAATACTCGGTACATGATTCTCATTCGAATTATGTAAAAAAAATAGGTACTTAATTTTTGACCAAATTTCCGTATAAATAAATAAAGTGTGGACGCGTTCCCAGTGTTCCAAGTGTGGACGCGTGCGGCGACGTGCTGATACAACATCACGTCGCCGCAGGCGTGTGTGTGTGTGTGTGTGTGTGTGTATCTAATCTGTAGGGTGTTCACACGATGCGTAATTAATTACATAACTTTTGGTTAACTTTACTTAGAAGTTTATTAATATTTATGTTATATTAATTTTTATTTTGTCATATATGATCGTCAAATATCACGTCCTCAAGTGTCGATAGTAATTCACCAGTCACCCTGTATATAAAAATGAATTGCTGTTCCTTGGTCTCACTAAAACTCGAGAACGACTGAACGGATTTATCTTATCATAGTCTTGAAATGTTCGTGGAGGTTTTATTTATTTATTTATTTAAGGAAGATTCAGGGAAGGTTTAAAAGCCGAATTTTTTTTATTAATTTCCGGGAAAACCCTAAAAACAGCGCTTTTTTTATTTCCCATACAAACGGTTTTTTGACATTAGATTTGACAACTAACTAATATGTCAATCATTTTGTCGCACTTCAGAACACGGAGATTTATGGCTTAAAGGTAAACACCAAAAGATAAATAAGACATAATTTATTTCTTGATTGAGGCAGTACGAAGTCTGTCGGGTCAGCTAGTAGTAGATAATTTAAGTGATAACTAGTGATAGTCATTAGTGGTTGAAGTCTAAATGACTGAAAGGCTGAAAGTTATATGTTTATAATTTCAGATCTCAGTAGGACCAGAGTAGTAGTAGTAGTAGTAGGACAGATTTGAGATAAATTCAAGAGATATATCAAGAACTAACGCGTAAGTTCATACTTACGCGTTTCGTGTTAATAGTATTAACACGAAAACGGTTATATTTTAAAATAATATATAATACAAGATAATATTCTAATAATATATTTTACATATTACAGTTACAACAACGAGCCGAGCTGTATAAGCGCCACCAACCCTCACCTCAACATATACTGCTACTGTAACCAATAAACATTAACAATATATAGCATTAAATGAAACATTCTACGGATATGTTTTATATTATATGTGAAAAGAATTATATACATAATAATAAAATACTACATCAATGTATGTGGTTCTGTTGGTGAATATAATGTTCTATTATTTGTATATTTTACTCTCTCATAATTATTAGTATTAATATAATAACTCGGTAAAATAATAATCAGTTTTTATTGTAATATGTACAAAAGTTTACCAAATATTTTTTTAATTTATTCGTACATAGAATATGTTGTTTTTGTTTTGGTGTTATTTATAAGATATCTAAATTTTTCTTAATACTCTTTTTGTTTTCTATTATATTTTCTTTCATATTAGTAATTTCAACATTTTTAATATTATAGTAATTTTTAATTCATGTTTATGATGTTAATCTGAAATTATTATTAACGCCATCTACATTATATATTTGGAACTTCATTGCATAATGTTTAAGTACGAACAATGAAAAGTGATTTGTCATAATGTTGTATTTGATCGTTTTCTCTCATATACCTACATCTAGCTTACCTCTTTTGTATTTTCACATATTTTTTTTTGGTATTAATTGTAATTTTGTGAATTTGTAAAACACTTAAAACACTTTTAGATATGGTTTTTGTTGATTATTTCATCTTTAATAATATACATTTCTATCTCAATTTAACATTTTAAAATTAAAATCGAATGTTGAACAGTTCTATTTATTTATGTAAAAATCTCAGTTACCATTTATTTTTTAACTAGTTTAAACCTAAATTTAAGGTTGAATTCTGTTGGGTGAAGTAAAGTATATAATAATAAAATAATATTGTAAATTATAAGGAGTTGATGTATAAAGAGTCGCGGACACTAAATAATTATTTTAATGTATAAGTTTCTTAAAACATAAATACAGTTTCTTAATATGATTCGTCTAGTTTTATTTGATTAAATCTAGTCAAGTAAAAATCTTGACATTTTTGTCTGTTTTGTTGTTTGCTTTCAAATAAATTTGGTTTTTGAAATTGAATTTTGTATTCTTATTTCAACCATATGATTGATAGTTTTAACCAACGATTATACACCGACCTCTTCACGATATTCACGAAACTACAAATGACAAGTGCAATAGGAAAGTGAAAATATATTTTGAATTTAGTATTTTTTTTTTTTTATGGGAAAAGGGGGCAACCGAGCAGACGGCCTACTTGATGGGAGGTAGTTACCGTCGCCCATAGACATCCGCAACGTAGATTTGCGGATGTGTTGCCGCCCTTCATTGGGGAAAAGGGGAAGGAAAGGGAGGAAAAGGGAAAGAGCAACCGGCTCTCTCACTCACCGGACGAAACGCAGTCTTGTAAAGATTACTTTACGCCGATTTTCTGCGAGAGGGTGGTACTTCCCCGGTCGAGCCAGCCCATGTTCGAGCTGTAGTATCTGACCACAGCTAGGCTCTACCACCTTTAACCATAAAATTGCAACATATAAGACAAAATACTCTCCACTAAAGTACTCTCAGAATGACATTGTGATTCAGATTTTCTCAGTCTGAGGATCAGTCTCTGATGTTGTTTAGCGTATTTCTAAAGTCACATAGTCGCCAGTGATAACAAAACCTTAAAATGTCTTTTAAATCAATCGCCATCAATCAAAAACTGACTGAAAGAAAATCATTCCTTTTGTACATGAAATAGTGAAGAATTGAGACGATATTACTTGTAACTTAGAAACCAAAAACTTTGATATTCAAAATATTTGAGGCAGGAAAAGGAAATGCAGCAAAACTTAGAAACCAGAAACTCGTTAACGTGTCCAAGGATAAATAAACAAAATTATTCTAAGGATAAATATGTGGAAAGCTATGGGCTCCTTAAACTCAAGATAATTAATAAGCACTAATAGAGATAATATCATGGAACATATTCAGGTGAATTTCAACATGACATGAAAATATGTTTGCCTGTAAGTAAAAGTAAATAACTTATTTAGCACTGTCTTTATGACTTTTTTGTTTTGTCGACATTTGTAATTGGAATAAATAATATAAAATATTAACTGAGTAAAGTAATAAAAGCATGAAGCAACTAATTTTAGCGTCTACTAATTCGTCTTACCTGATGGAAGGAAACAGGTAATATACAGCAGGAGGGTGGGTTGTTGTTATAAACATAGTAAAGGTGATGAGCATGACTTATGAAATGAATTATTTGTCACCAGATCGTTGAATATGAAGCCGACCAGGACGGTTTCAAGCCCAGAATCTCATACGAGGACGTCGGCGCCGGATCAGGCTGCGACAGTAACAGACAAGCGGATTACAACAACGATTATAACAACGGACCTTATTAGAAGACTTCATATAAAGAAGGCTTGTTTAAGATGATTGTTTATCTTTATTTGATAGAGAGAATGATCTTCTTCCCTTCCTCTAACTGATCTGTAAATAGTCCTTATTCTAAATGACGACAAGCAATGTTAATGGATGCTGAGTGTGTGTATATTTAACTTTAATTCTATCTGTGCCTCATTGTAATTAATATATTAAAGACTTTGAGGAGTCTAATTATACCAAAGCATTTCTATGTTATCGTCTTTATTTTTTGATTGAAGATTTTTTTATTGAAGATTGAATAAAATATTTTTAATAAACGTTATTGAAGGTCTTTAAAATCGTGTTTTTGTTTAGTTTAAAATTCGAAGTTTTTTAACTTAAGTATTAATCCATTAATGTCTTTATTATCATTTAATCCTCATAAATTAATTATCGTTTACTTTTATTGAAACTTAAGTCCTTATAATATTATGCCATTCAATAATTTTGACTGTGTGAACTAGTTTTCTGTTTCTGTGATTTTATATAATATACATATTAGTATCGTCATTTTATCACATTCCTCCGTCCTAAGGAGTGCCATATTGGGATATTCGGTACTGCCCAAGATAAACTTGGTACTACGTACTAAATCTCTATTCTGTGCTGCCTTAAATTTCAAAACCTCCGCTAAGTGTGCTCCGTGTAACTTGAGCAGCCACTGAATAGTCCTGAATGAACTAGATGAATGAATTGGATAGTTCACTTTCCCAGCTGTTCGAAGTAAGACCAGAATCTGAAACTAGTTGGTTATTTTTTTCAGGGTATCTCAATAATATTTCCAAACTGTATAATTTTTTCCTTTTTGTCCATAAAATATAACTCTTCTTCTTCTGTGACAGGGCGGTCTTCTGATCTTCTGTGAGAGGGTGGTACTTCCCCGGGTCGAGCCAGCCCATGTTCGAGCTAAAATAACTTGACCACGTATGGCAAAACATACTTGTTCTCCTTCGCATACAAGTAATAAGGTATATAAGTCAGCGGCATTAGAGTATAACTTTTGCCTATAATGATATAAGTAAAAATATTACGAATTTTTTCGAAGGATATTAATTATGGTTAATAAATATTAAAAAAATTGAAATCGAAAAAATGAATGTTAAATTTAAGTCTCATTGGTGAAAACAAAACAATCCAAGTTGCTTTATAATAAAAGTTTGTCATCAAGCTTGTAAATTATTATTTGTAGCTCTTTCTACATTACTCATGAAAAAAAAAGAGTAAATAATGATATGTTGGACTTTCGCGAGCATTCATTTCAATAAAACCATATTTTTATTGCTACGAGTTTTTTTTATTATTTTAAACTAGGTACATGCTCCAGAAGTCCAGAAGTTTTCTTTTGCA